GGGATCACCAATGCTGACTCAGGTTACCCAATCCATGGCCACCTCAACGCTTCCCCTAACCCTGCCCAGCCTTTGCTGCCAAAGCAGTTATATGTCTCCAGGTCCTTTTCCCCCACTAGCTATGTGACATGTGCACCCTTAAAGTGCTTGCCAGGCAGAGCTCGTTCTCTTTGCCTGGTCTCTTGTCTTTTACTCCTTTCCTCTTGCAATCTTTGTTTAGTGGGCATACTTTGGCCAAAGGCACCCACTTCATGCAAGGATCCTACCTGCCTGCTCCCCCACAATAGATCTGCCCCCTTCCACCTGCAGCAAATCTGCTTTCTCATTTACTGATGGCTTTGTCTTTCATTCAATACCAGTAATTGGGGCTCTGGCGGGGCTACCCACCTCTGCCTCCGTATTCCTTGGACTAGACAGTTGGGAACTGAGAAAAAATTCTCCACTTTCTTTCTTCTTTGCTCCAAAACCTGCTTGTATATGTCTGCTCTCCCTCTCTAACTGTCTGGTCTAGGTCTGCCTTCAATGTGGGATTAAGAAATGGGGAAGTCAGCTTCACCTTGCTCAGCACCCACCGGTTTCCCCTTTCTTTTTAATTTAATTCAACTCCTATTTAGTGTGTGTGTGTGTGTGTGTGTGTGTGTGTGTGTGTGTGTGTACACATGTATGTGACTTTGATTTAACTCTATATGCATGAATGCAAGCTAGATTTAACTGTGTATATGTGTATGTAATTTGGATTCAACTGTGCATATATGTACATGTAAACTATTGTTTATAAAGACACATTTTAACCAGCCACCATGTGGCTCTTGTCCATCTTGGCTGGTGACCTCATCAGGATGTGGGCAGCCACATGACTGGCAGGCATCTTTTACTAAGGTTAAAGAGTAAGCTTCTTAGTCCTAATGAGCTCTGTTCATTGTATTTCCTTCTAGACTAAGGAAAGCAGCAAGTCTCAAATATTTTAGATTGGTATGTACTTTTGGAGGACGATAAAAATATATGGTTACATTTGTTACAACATACTGTATATGTGACTCAATTTTACTTTAAAATATATTCTATATAGCGATAAAAATTTAAGGGTATAAAGATCTGTTCAGATTAACAAAAGTTAATCTAAGGGTTTACACCTAAGTACTTATGTCTTTGCCAAGTGTTCAACATCAAGCTTGTAGACAATGTACATAAATATCAACATATATTTGATAAATAAGATATATACTCTATAATGGAATGCCTAGCCCCCTGAGAGGGCCTTTCTCCCAGAGTTGGGCATTGGATAGAGGCCCCCATGACCTGTCAAGGGCAGTGCTGGCTTCTGTGCTCCCCCAGTCCCTACTCATGGGCCACACCCCAGCTCACAAGCCCCCCTTCTACTGTTCCCATTTTTCCCTGGGATCTTTCCCTTGTCCCCCTTCCTTTCCTTCCCAGGAGACTGCCTTAGCAGCTTCGTACAAACTTGTTTTGTTTTTAGCCATGGAATGGCCATTTTGGTTTCTTTACTGAGCCCATTATCTATGATTAAAAGGTTTTATTTTGTTACTAGAAGAGCTTCCATTCAAAATCATTATTTTAAAGGCTAAACCTGACAGGAATGTAATGTAAAGTCCTAGACTTATGAGAGTTACTAACTTATAATAGACTGTTAAGAAATACAAGTTAATAGTCATAAACTATCAAGTTCTTTAATTGTAGTCATGCTAAGTACTGATGTAATTAATTACATGGATAAGCCTCACCTAGTTCCATATATGTTTTCAGAGTTAAACTTAAAACAAGTAACTGGAAACCAAGTTTGTCTATTCAGACATACCTAATAGACAGGCAGTCCTCAAATGCTCAGAGACCTAAGAATATGGCATTTTAAATGTTTAACTAAAAAGCTTTCCATAACAGAAAGACATGCCAGCTCCTATTTCCTCCCAAAGAAGATGGATGGCCACAGAAGAACTCCCACCCGGAACTTACTTCAAAAGTGGCAGCACTAGCCACTGAGCAAAACTGCCTTTCACCTCAACTGCTGCACAGACCCTCTTCAGACCATTCACAACAGGACACTGGGGACTTAACTGCCTCGAGTTGCCTAGACAAAGCATCTTGCCAGGTCCAAGAGGCACCATATGGCCCCACAGAACCTGGACAGCAGTGAAACAGCCAGCTATTCCTGGATGTGGCCAGCACCCCAGCTTTCTCAAGTCCCCCCAAAATTCTGGTGCCCCAAGATCAGCAGCCAGCAGTCTCTAGAACTGAGTGATCTCATTCTCCTAACCTGCCACCTTGCCCCCTGTCATCTGGCAGGATATGCTTGCCAGTACTCAGGCAGTACTCTGACCTGCTCAAGGTCCTGACAATGTGTCATCAGCTACTCATTAGCTACGTTAATATAGCTTTAAAAAGTGGGGCCCTGCTGCTGCCCCCACCCCTGTCTGTCTCTCTGTACCTCTCTCTGCATCTCTCTCTCTTTCTTCCCATGATGCCCCTGCCCCCGCACCAAATAAAACTCTCCACATGAGCGCTGTCTGCAGGTGTTTTGTTCTCTCACCTGCCATGGGCCCCCTTGGCTCTACCCCACCAACATCTCTTTTGTGCCATTTTACAACAGTAGGTAAGGCCAGAGATGGAGGCAAGCCCTTTCCCAAGGACACAGGCTTCTCACTGGACTCAGAACTCCACAAGATTAAGGGGCCTGAGTAAGAAAATCCATCCCCAGGCACCTTCTTTCCTTGAGGTGGGGCAGCCCACCTGTTGCTCCTTCAGTATTCCCTCCTGGAGTGCTTTCGAAGAGAGCTGCCTTCTTCCCAGGATCAACAGCCTGTTTGTTTAAAGGGCTCATTACTGCTGCTTAATGCTATTTTGACAGATGAAAGTGAGTCAATTATGTCTAAAAATAGCTCTGGCTGCAGAGGTTTCTTCCAGGTGGCTGCCTGCTCCCCATCCAAAGGACTTTTGGTCTTGTTGCCAAAGGGCAGTTCTCCACCCTTGGTTATCTCCTTGAATCTCCAAATAGACTCAGGAGGGGCCTCCTTCCAGGAATAATGGGGTTCAAGGTGTGAGGCTTAAGCCCTGGAGAGCAAGATTATACTGACAGACCCACTCAGACAGAATGAAATGGTAAGATGCTGAAGATATTCTCTGGGGCCTCTCCTCCCTCTGGAACAGGGACCACTCTGTCCCACCAGCCTCAAACATGGTTGCCCTTGTAGTTTGTTTCTTTAGATCTGTCTTGGGGCCAGTGTATTCCCTGTGATAACACATACCACAATACGTTCAATTTCGGTCAGAGTCATTAATGTCTTACCTTAATTTTCATGAGTACTGGTCCTATGTGAGTGACTCAGATGGCTTCCCAGTTATTACACTTAGGTTCCACCAAAGAGCATCCCCACATGCCTCAGTTGGCAAGGAATCTGTCCTGGGGAGCTTCTACTTGGTTGAGTGGGCAGTTGGGTAAGGTCAGTGGGTGATGCAAATTTGTCACAGCCATGTCAAATTTACTCAGTTCCTCAGTCCCTGCTTCTGCCCCACCCCAGGCTTTTGCCGGCTCCCGCTAGTACCACTGCCCACCCATTTGCTTAAGTTCTAATCCCAAAATGATGTGAAGAGAGGTGCACTCAATACCACCTGTCCCTAATGTCCCATCACTAGCCACCATCTGACTGTAACTGTGTGGTGCACCTTTGCTCAGAATCCAGCCAAGCTGTTACCGAATTTCTGATTAACAACAATTGGGAAGAACACATGATTGCTTTTTCAGAAGCCTGAGTTTTGGGGTGATTTCTTACCCTGCAATAGATAACTGGAAACAAGTGATTGGGTGCTTAACATCAAGCTCTGCTGGCTGTTGTGACCCCAGGCAGTTTCCTAGCCCAGATCCTTGGGGGTGCACCCATGGCTGGACTCACAGTTGGGAAGAATAAGCAAGAATTTAGGAATTACCAGTTTGGCTGGGCTGTTGAAAAGTCCAACTGGATCAGTGTGGACTTAACCAATTTTTTTCTTTTTTAAATTTTTTTTGTTGTTGTTTTGAGACAGAGTCTCATGCCGCCCAGGCTGGCCTTGAACTCACTATGTTGCTGAGGATGACCTTAAACTTCTGGTCCTCCTACCTCCATCACCTGAAATTTCAGTCACTATGTCCTGGTTGTGCAGTGCTGGGGAATGGACCCAGGGCTTAGTGCAAGAATCAAGGATGACTGTGACAACAATGTTGACAATGACAGGGCATCTGTATTAGTTGTTGTCCAGACATCATTTCATTTAGTCTTCATCCCAGCAATGTTACCCTTCCCACTCCTGCTTACTAACGAGGAAATTAAAGTCTATAGAGCTTAAGGTGACATGTTGAAGTCAAGGTGGAATGACTGAGATGGCGGATATGTGACACATGGAGTCACCATCTTCCTTCCCAAGGAAGGGACAGAACATCTGTTCCCATTGAGCCTCAATACAGCCTCCAGTTACTTTCTAAGAGTACAGGAAGTGGATAGTTCACCCAGGTGAAACTGATTTGGGAACCACTGTCATTGCTGATGGAGGTTCAGAAAGGCCAGGTAAGAGCAATCAGCTATGATGGGGAAGGTCCTTCTGTATGCTGTGAATATATGTTTCTCTTATTGGTTGATGAATAAATGCTGATTGGTCAGTAGCCAGGCAGGAAGTATAGGTGGGGCTACCAGACTAGGAGAGTTCTAGGGAGAGGAACAGAGAGAGGAGCCACCAGAGGGACACCACATAGCTGACGAGGAAGAAGGTGGTCCTGGCATTTTCTGGTAAGCCTAGACTACATGGAGATACATAAATTAATAGAAATGGGTTAATAATTAAGAGAAGACTAGCCAATAAGATGCCCGAGCCATCAGCCAAACAGTTTATAATTAATAGAAGCCTCTATATGTTCATTTGGGTCTACACAGCTAATGGTGGTGGAGATGGAAGTACATCTCAGAGGCCACTCTGCTTAGCACACTCCCAAACCCCAGAGACGATGGCACACTCACCCTCTGACAGCATGCAGCAGGCGCAGGGAAGGGTAAGCCGTGCGTACATTGACATGGTGCTTCAGGATGAGAGCATTAACCCACTCCACACGTTCTTTGCCACCACGCGCCATGAAGGCAGGTATCCACAGGATGCTGCCATTGAGGCCATGTAGCCGTTGCAGCAACTTCTCTCGCCATGTGGCATTCACCAGATCCTCAAAGGCCCGCTGGATGACCGAGGGGTTCATTGTCACTAGGTCTGTCTTGAGGCCCACATCCCGGGCATACTCCTGAACTGGAGCCAGGTTGCACCTGAGGGATAAAAGGCCACATGGTCATTTGAGGAAGATGGTCCTTCTTACTTTGAACTTTACCCTGCCCTCTGCTGCTTCTTGTTTCTTTCTTTTTGTCACCATAGATGCATCATGGGTACTTCACTGATCACAAGCATTTCCTATATTGTCCTTCCTGCCTCAAAGGTTTACTGAGCCCCTGTCATATCCTTAAACACAAAATGCCACTCTCCTGGAGGCCAGTGTCTAAAAGAGGAGCAACAGTGCTAACCCTCAGCCCCACAATGACGTAACTCTTAGTAGATATGTCCTGGCTCATTAGGTGACCTCTTAGAAGGCTCAGAAGACAGAGTTCTAGGTTTAAAACTCAGATCTGATACGCTCTACCTGTGTGACACTGGGCAGCTTTCTCAGCCTCTCTGTGCTTCCTGAGAGCTTCCACAACTTTGGCTTGTGTCAGAGACCACAAGAACTGTGGGTACTCAGAATGCTACTGGCCCATAGCGAGAGCATAGACCATGTTAACTGCTATCATCTTTCTATGGGGTAGAGGACTATTAGGTGTCAGAGCAGGGAGAGAAATGTCAAGGATGGATGAGCAGAAGAGCACTGGTGGACAGCCACGGAAGAAGAGCTTGTCTCCAGTCTGTAAACTCAGAAGGATTCCCATGGAGACTTGTTAAAAATAGGATTCCCTGGGTCCTGATTCAGCAAGCCTCAGAGCTCAAGAATTTATATGTATATATGTATATGCATGTGCATACATATACCTTCTAAAGATCTCTTCCTCCTTGGGTTCCAAGAAGCTTAAGAAACACCATGCTATGGAATTTTAGGCACAAGAAATTTGCCTGAGGGCAGCAAATGTGAACCAGCATGGGCGTTTAGAGGAGGTCTGTGAACTGGTCTGACTAATGGGTACTTCGTAGATGAGACAGGAACAGGGCAAAGCTGGATGAGATATCAGAGGTTGGATATGCAAAGACTTGGCTCTGAAGGCAGTAGGGAGCCATTTGAAGGGTCTTGAGGGAAAGAGCAAATGGGCAGACCTGTATACTGCATTCTCCTGCTGAACCAATCACCCTCCCTATTCACTGAAGGGACTGCTTTGGGTCCGTCCCTCAAGGGTTCTGGCCCAGGTGTCTGAGAGACTCTGGGACTAAGTCTGTAGCCAGGAAGTACTGTCGTCCCTGGAGAACTGCATGGTATGGTAAGAAAAAATGTTTGGATCAGTGGGAATAAATGGAGAACTCAGAGCAGGTATGTACAGTATACAGGCTGACTATACGTAATTGAGGAGCCAGGCACCATCACTCCATAGCGTAACACAAACACTGTCTGCCCCTGCCTTTAAGCAACAACTTGTCTTCTTCATCTGGGAAAGAAAGCCAGTTTAGTGGGTAGCACACTGATATCACTGAGCCCTGGGCTATACTGGCCACTTGGCTAGTATAATTTTCCACAGGTCAGCTTATTTTTATTCTGAACCTGAATACATGAACCCATTTTGGAGACCGAGGAAGGAAGTCCTCAGTTGCCAACTAACTTGCCCAAATTCCCTGAGTCAGGAAGGATTCAGAAACTCATGAACTTTTTAGAGCCTCCCCAAATACCTCTTGATCCATCTCTTGCCCCAGCTTTGCTATCTCCGACTGTGGCTAAATATTATTGGGAGGAGAGATGCCAGGGACCTCTTCAGATGCCCCGGCTCCAGGCCAAGAGAGTGGGAGGCACTTGATGCTCAGTGGCCTTTCTCGGGTCACCCATATCTCCCTATTTCTCTGAGGCCAGCTGAGCCAGGCTTCCAAAACTTTGCTGAGCATTAGGACTGTTTGTGGACTGACTTCCCAGCCCTGAGAACAGAGCCAGGGGCATTTAATACTGTCAGGATCACTGGAGACCATCACTGACTATAGTGGGGCTAAGAAGGAAGCCGAGGTTTAGTGGGCATCCAGCAGATTTGAGGGCTGGGCAGGCAGTGGGGAACACACACTGATTGATTACTATCACGAGGATCTGAAAGGTCTCCACAGGAAGGGACATCAGGGTGTTTGTGCCCTTGAGGGTAGGACCATTCACAGCAGAGGCTTCATACCTACCTAGGGTCAAGGTGGGAATGGGATCTGTGGGGCTCAAGCTTGCCCAGTGTTATGTCTTAGTGAGGACATTACTGATAGGCATGTGTGTATGTGTGTGTGTGTGTGTGTGTGTGTGTGTGTGTGTGTGGGGGTGGGGGATGGGCAGCTGAGCCATGGGTAGACTCTGAAAATGTTTCTTCCCACTGACAAAGAATACATGATTTTTTTTCCCCCCATTGGGAGGGCAGTCCTTTCTGACATTGGTTCTGGTGGACCCAAGCTCTCTTGTTAAAAAGAATTCTAGGGGAAGGAGCTGCATTGTAGACGGGCCTGGCTTCTGGCAGGAAGGGAGTTGGCCCCTTCCAGAAATAACTATACCCACAGGTACAGGTGGAGTAAGCATCAAGATGAGGGGGCAGTTGTGTCTGGGAAGCCAGACTGCCAGCTCCTCAGCCTAACCCTGGTTGTAGCTAGTTACCTGGATCTTGGCCATCCACTCCTCAGGTACCTCACTGGAAAGGATAGTGGTGAGAGTTAAATAAACTCAGAGATGTGCACAGGCTAACAGCAGATGCCATGAGCATGCTTTTAATATCATGCTGAGGACACAGCACATCTTAAGGGACTATGCTGATGTTGATTTACCCGTGTGTGTGTGTGTGTGTGTGTGTGTGTGTGTGTGTGTGTGTGTGTTTCAGAAGAATGAAGCTGAAGATGGCATCTCTCATCCCGGCATTGTAGTCTTGTGTCATCCTCTCAGGCCTACCAGTCCCAGTCATCTCAGTTCCCAGAAGCCAGTGTGCAACTACCATCTGCTCAGTTGAGCCTCCTGGACTTACTTCCCCATCCTTCCCTTTGTGGTCTGCTCTTCCTTGTGGGAGATTCTGCACATTGTAAGCTCACTGTGTTCTGTATGTGGCTGTGACCTACTAGGACTCCTGGGGTCCTGTTCCCCAGTAATTTTCTGAGAGGATGGCAGAGTCCTGTGTGTCTCATACATGGTGGGGGGTCAGACATAAATAAGGGAAACTAATTTTGCACACTTTGATAGATGGAGGCAGGCATCCATTAGGACCGTTTCAGTATTTGGCATCAGAGTACAGCCCTGTGGGGCGCTCCTGTGTGCTAAGCACACCTTGACCTGGAGATCAAGACACAGACACAAAAACTACTGTCATTTCAGGAGATTGTTGTCTGGGAGTGAGGCAGTACAGTGGAGATTCAGGGTTTATGGAGAATGAATGCTTAATGTACGATCATGTGGGGACACAGGGCATGTCCACATGTTATTTCACCCAACATGCATGACATCATGTTCTTTTGATTATGTGTGTGAGTATAGGTGTGCTTGTGGATATGGGGGTCAGTGGAGCAGGCTATAGTCAATCTAGCCTCTCTAAGTGTATCTGGCATCATACCTCCCTTGTGGTCTTGTGAGAAATCCAGAGTCTCAGGTTCACTTCACATCTGATGCCTCTGTATTTCAATAATCCAGCAGATATGTATCCATATTAAAGTGTGGAGAAAGCTGGGTTAGCATCTGGAAAGGCTTCATGGTAGGACCTTAGAATCAGTCAACTCAACCCAAGCATCTTACAGATGAAACCAAGGTTCAGGAAAGGGGAGTGATCTATTTCAAGTCACATGACAAATGACCATTAGAGTCAGGACTGGACTTCAGAACCCACACTGGGAACCATAGGCTGACCCTGGCCATGACTTCTAGAAATTTTCTTTTCATTCAGCCTGGCTCTCCGGCTCATAGGATAGTGCCAAGAATATTCAGGGTGAATCTTCGCTCCTCAGTTAGGAGTGGGACTTAATGTGCCATTGGAAGCTGACTGTTGAAACTCATTACTCATAACTCTTGAAAGTCCTGCATGAGTTATACTAGGTCTGCATCCTGGAGGTAAGCTGACCCTGGGAGGAGGCTTTGCTGTGTCTTTCACTTTAACAGCCATGCTCCTACCCCTCAACCCTCTGGCTTCCAATAATACAAGTTCCCACACATTTTCCTTTCTTTTCCTCCCCAGATCCTCTCTTTAGACTGGAGGGCTTGGAAATATAGGAGCAGAGCTATTGGCTCCGCCAGGCACAGAGAGACCTGGTCATGGGAAACAAAGAGGAAGTAACTAGTACCCAGGCTGTTGTATCAGCTCCAGTCTCAGGGGATGCAGGAGTAATTTTATACTCATTTTCTTCCCTTGTCCTCAGATTCCAGGAACTCTCTGGTCATGATGCTCCCAAAGCCCCAGAATGAGATTCTTTTTGCACAAGGCAAAATGTGAGAGGTGACACACATTTCTGCCAGGGATGGGAGTGCTTTGGGATGAAACTTGAGGCACTCTGTGTCCTAATTTTGTTCAGGAGACAGCAATGCCTTGTTTCTAAGTTTGTATGGCTCGAGGGTCAGGTATCAGGGCCATGGGCAACTGTCACAATGTCCCCAGTGATGGTGAAACAAGAGCTGATATCATAGAGAAAATGACTGTTGAATTTCTTTATATCACTAGGTTTTGACTCCAGGGTACTAAAGTTACAGGTGGAATACCACCTTCTGGAATACTGAGAAGACTTTTACAGTCCTGGCACAGGAACTACCCATCCAGATTTCCTTAATCCCTTTTGTACCAGGCTCTGTCTACTGCTCAGAGAACAGGCTCTTTCTGTAAGGGGTCAGACAATAAATACTTCCAGATTTGCAGGCTGTATGCTTTAGCAAAAATATCCCGGCTTTCCCCAGAAAGTTATTAATAGCTTGAGGGTGGGCCTGAGTGACTACGTTATAATAAAGTTTTATTTATAAAACATGCCAAAGGCCACAGTCTGCCTACCTCTGCACTCTTTCTTTGTGATTCCCAACCTTAAATATAATACAGAATCTCATGGGCTCTCTGGGTCACACAATGTCCCTTTCCTGTCCCTGAGGTGACTTAATTGATTAGATGTACATTCTGATTGGAGATAAGGATCCCTGTGACACTAATCTTCATTGTCATTGTGACATAATCTTCATTGTGAATCCCCTGGGAGACACATCCTTGGATATGCCTTTGAGGAAATTTACAGAGAGGTTTGACTGAAGAAGGAAGCCCCACTCCTCATGTTGTTGTACCATTACATGGGCTGGGTTTCCAGGCTGAATAAGAAGGGGAGAAATGAGCTGAGCCAAAACACATTTATCTCTGTTTCTTAACTGCAGATGCCTCATACTCTTGCTGTCATGCCTTCTCCTTCATGATGGACCCTCAGACCATTCATGCAAACAAGCCCTTCCTCCTTTAAGTTGCTCCTGTCAGATGTTTGGGTACAGCAATGAGACAAATAACCAATGCTCCCCCATTACAATTATGAAAAGCAATGAAGGTGAGAACAGGACACACTCAACTCATATGCCTTGTTTTAGTCACTTTAATATATCTGCCCCTCGGGGCCCAAACTTTTGTTGCGGGTGGTTGGTTACCTTATGACAAAGCTGTGGGTGTCAATCTCTTGCCCACAGCCACTGTTCAGCAAGACCCCTGAGTTGCCCACGATGGCACAAGTCTGGAAATGCTTATTCTTCAGGGGTGAGGTTCGGGGGAGGAGTTCATAGAGGTTCTGGGACACGTTCATTGTGCTGTCTCGATCGAAGATATAATGAATAATGTCTCCGGGCTTCAGGGTCCCCTTAAGGACAGAGATATCCTTCTCCGCATCCAAGAACTTTAAAATCTGCTTCCTGTGAAAACCACAAAAAGAAAGTGTCCACGCTGCTAGATGCTCTTTACTGGCTTAGATGTTCTACTCTATGGCACCTTGCAAGGACACTACCACCCAGCAAACAGGTGAGCACACCCAGAGCTCAAATGCCTTCAGGGATGCTCTTTGACTTTACAGAAGGCCCTAGATGGAAGGGTACTGCACCAACGGCAGGAAACCTTCAGTACTGGGTAAACCTAGCCCTTTGGCCCACCCTGGATCAAACTGCCTATCTTAGGGGAACTACCCTCTAACGGGGAAATCTAAAAAGAGGAGTCAGAGTAACGTGTGCCCTGATTCCCCACTGGCCTCTGTTTTTCTAGGAAAGCTTCTTCAGGCATGGTGATCATGGGGGTGGGGTGGAGTAGTGTAGATGGGTCTGTGGAACTATGATGGGGAATTACTACTTCCACCTGTAAGATCTTATGAGTGTGGCTTCCTGGCCTATGCACTGGCCCGTTTTGTGGACTGCCTCTATTCCTCTAGTTGTGGTCTAGTGGGGTTTGTGAATCATGACATCTCCTTGGTCCTACAGATACCAGTTCCTCTATGTCTGTTCAGAACAAGGTGATCAAAATACAGTTCTCTAGGTTCTAGGGTAAGTTAGGTTTATAGGGAAAGTTCTAGAACAGCATGGGGAAAGGATGAAAGACACTGGAATAGGTGTCTTCATGAAATCACCAGAAGTTACCCCGGAAGCATCTTGTCCTGAGTAGCCTGAGCATCAGCTTGGAGCTCTATTTATAGAACCTAAGGACTTGAACAAAAATGACACCCATAGACAAGCTAATATGGAAGGGAGAACTCTCACAGGGCCTAAAACACTAGACAAAGAATGAACTACAAACACCTAAGGAGTGCTGAAAGCCCCCCACTGGTTGTCCAATGCCAAGTGGTCAGCCCTGGAATCATACACACATATATGTAACATACAGTCTGAGCAGGTTGTGTTTATATATTTAGGAATATATACATACACACATAGACATATATGTGCAGATACACACACACACACACACACACACACACACACACACACATAACAACAATGTGATGCATTTGAAATGGTGGCAGATACACGCGGGAGGCTAGAGGGGAAAAAAGGGAAAGGGGAAAATGATGTAATTGTATTTTAATTACATTTTTAAAAAGAACTGCTTAAGGGGCTGGAGGAGCCAAGTTGGTGAAGTATTTGTCATGCAAGCTTGAGGGCTTAAGTCTCATCTTAAGAACCCACATTTAAAAAAGCCAGGCACATTGTCAGGTGTCTGTCATTCTGGTGCTGGGACGGGAAGACACACAGGTCCCCGGGGCTCAACTGCTAGCCAGTCTAGCCTACTCAGCAGGTTCCAGGCTAATGAGAGACTGTCTCGAAAAGCACCGTGGACAGCTCGTGAGGGACAATGTCAGAGGCTGACCGCTGCCCTCCACGCACACAAGTCCAATATGCATGTGCACCCACAGATGACAGACACATGAAATGTCTAAGCTACCATTTTAAGACACAGTGGTGATTGCAATCATACAGAGAAAGGAGCTGGGTGCCTGGTCAGCTGATCTAATTATATTGCCTGCAGCAAGCCCCATTGAGAACCAACCCATGGAAGCTTGTCTTCTTCCATCTTCAGAATGCTCATGCGGCTTGCAAATGTGTGACTCTTCCTGGATGTGCACAGGGTTACACTGAGCTTTGAGCCTGCAGAGCTTAAAAGGGGTACACCCTAAGGGCAAGACCTAGGAGGCTGCATGTCTGTATACTTGGAAACTAGGAAGAAGCTAGAAGCTGTGGCTGATACCTGAGAAAACCCGATTCTCTGGGGGCCTGGCTCAGATGATTGACATACATCTCTCTGGGTTTGGAGTGTTCTGAGACAGCCAAGGGGCAGCCAACACCCCTTGAGCATGGCACACTCCATCCACTAACTACTGTACATTAGTGACTGGAGTCACTAGTAACTGTGCAAAAAGAAGCCACCTTGGCTGAGCACTTCTTACTTCTTAGCAGGAAACAAAAGCATTTTATTTACTTCACTTCACTAAAGATTATACAACTTGACACGCTAATATACTTTGAAAATTGCTAATATCCCTTGCAATTACTTACCCCAAAGTATTTAAAAGCAAAGAGAGCCCCCAGAAAGCTCATAAATAAACACCTCTGTGAGGGAATTAATTTCTAACTAATTATGAGAAATTACAATCAATTATTAAATATCATTCCAAATCACTCACAGAATCTTTTATTGTGAATAATTTTGGCAACTAATTGAATGGAGGGAAATTCCCTTTCCCTCTGGGTGGAGGCATATTGTTCCTCCACAGTGGCTGGTGTCCACAGGCTCCTTAGAAAAGCAATGGTATCCTCGTCTAGGGTGTATGTGTCTGTGTGCACATACCCGTGTGTGTGTGTGTGTGTGTGTGTGTGTGTGCTCACACACATGTGTGCATGCATGTGTAGGTCTCTCCATTCTCCGCCTTCTTTTCAGAGTTCCTACAGAAAAGGGCCAGAAGGGCTGACATGTATGGGTGCTGGCAGTAGAATTTTACCCCAGGTAGTGGGGAAACATGGAATATGACGGCCACCCAAAATATATGGCCAACTCTGAATCCCTGGAACCTGTGAATGTGATTTTACTTTGAAACAGTGTCTTGGAAGATGTGATTTAGGATCTTGAGATGAGATCATCTTGAATTCCCTGTGGGCTCTAAATCCAGTGAGTGTCCTGTGAGAGATGGAGGATGAGGTTATACCAACTCAGACGAGGGGACAGAAAAGATAGATGTCAGGGTGATACAGCCACAGGGACATCTGGGGCCACCAGAAGCCATCAGAAACTATAAGAAGGGCTCTCCTGGAGCTGCTGAGATAGCACTCAGAACTCTGGCTTCTAGAACCATCTGGGAAAGAATACCTGCTGTGGCTTTAGCTGCAGGTTGACAGGGGTTGCTGTTGTGCAGCAGTCTTGTCTGCTCCATGGTGCCCCAGAGGAAAGAGCATGGCTGCTAGGACAGTGCAATGAAGGTCTCACTTAGGTGGAGGTGCTGAGGGGGCCTGGTAGCAGCTCCTCCAGGCGGCCTCTCAGTCACAGGGCTCCCAATGCCAATGCTTCTTAGTCTCACACCCTTTTTGTTTCCCCATGAAGCATCTAGAGCTATGGGGTAGAACCACTAGAGGGGCAACACCTTGCTTTGTGCTATATTATATGTGGGTCTTCTCACTTCCTTCACCATACAGATGGCCTGGGGAATTAAGTCTTTCCTTACCTGGTCCTGGCTGCCTCATTCCCATCCCCCATTCCATATCTTCTGTCCAATACTGTTTCAGCCTTGGTCACAAATACCGTTCAGACCATGTGCATGCAGGATGCAGCATGGCACACTGGATAAACTCCCACTTGTCCTTCAAAACATCTTATTATATTGTTTCCTGGTAGCACTCTTGGACTCCTTAGAAAATGAATGACTCCCTTCAGCACAATCTCTTTAGCTCCACCTATTTGCAAGACAGTACCATCTGGTGTGAGCATCCTGTGTTGTCCTGTCTTTGCTTGTTTTTGTATTTTTCTGCCTATTATGTCTATTTATGCCAGTAGCCTGGGCCACAGCTCAATGTCTGGAAATGAACATCTTGATGTGTTAGTCATGACCGCATCTTGAGGCCAAAGTCCCAAGTACCAAAGTTCTAACTTCCCTCCATGTCTACCACCCAAGGATGACCCAAGGATGTCTCAGGATACCAAGGCCAGAACAAAAACTTTTCTCTGACTTAGATGTTCTCTTGGTAGTTGACAAGATGTCTGGCCAGTTCTTTGTCTCTCAGCTATAGTTCTGCATTTTCATGCCGGTGGCGGTAGGGAGACAGCCTTTCATTCTATATGTGCCTTGGGAGGTGGCAGACAAGGTGAAGGACTGTCACAGAATGGGGACATAAGTACCAGGTAAAGGTAAACAAGAGAAAACTCTTTATGCCAGAGAAAGAAACTTGTGACCTGTACTGCCCAGAAGCAGAGTTCCTGACTTAGATCCAAGGACCCTAGGGGGTTGGTCACACATGCCACCTCCCCTTGCCCAAATGGCTGCATATCTACTTGGGCTGGGTTTGCCCCAGGTTTTGATTTTTAATTGATCATTTAATAGATGAAATCTGCTTCCTTGGGAGGAAAACATTTATTTCTATCCTGACTTCTTTAGATGATAGAGAGTAGCTGTTTGGTGGCTCATGGTAAAGAAAGCCAGGCCTGCCTCTCGTGTCCTATAGGTAATGACCAATACCTGATCCTCAGAGAGAGCGTCTGGTTGTGTCTCCATCTGGATGAAGCTGGCTGGATGCTGTGCTTAATGCTTTCATGACTTCTGTCAACAACAGCTGGCAGTGAAGAGCCATTTATTACAACTTCAGCTCTGGACAGGGGAGAAAAAATGTGAAGGTAGACAGGATCTGTGAGTCTGCCCATGACAAGTCTAATAGTTTTGTTTTTGCACTGGCTTGAATGTAAACTTCACAAGAGCAAAATTGCCATTATTATCTGAGAAGGGAAGTCTATTTATCTTCTGGAATACACATACTCTCTCCCTCAGGAATAGCCTGCAGACAGACACTGGTTCTTAGAAGCAGGAAGTGGGGCCCTACAACTGCTCTTCCCTCCTCCCATTTCTGAGCTTCCAGGGTAACAGGCAGTTTCTGCCAGGACAGTCCAGTTTTCCTTCTCAGCTACAGAGAATAGTCCACAAGGGTACAGTGCAATCTATCACATGATGGGCCACAAACTTAAAGTGATAGCTAAACCCCACATGGGACAATGTACTTATAGCCTGTGGCTTCACCCTCCTCCCCTCAATTCCTATCACTGTCTTCTTTTTAAAACTTTTTCAAATTCTCTCTCTCTCTCTCTCTCTCTCTCTCTCTCTCTCTCTCTCTCTCTCTGTGTGTGTGTGTGTGTGTGTGTGTGTGTGTGTGTGTGTGTCTGAGAAAAAAACTGGCAAGAGTCCATTCTCCTTCCATGTGGGTTCTGGAGATTGAACTCAGATTGTCAGTCTCTGTGGAGTATCCCATTGATCACTGTGCCATCTCAATGGCTCTCCGTCCTCCCCTGTTTTTGCTCATAGAAAAAATATCCACCCATGATTGAGTTATTAGTCTTGTATTTAGCTGTCTTACCAGACTTTAAGTGTGGGATTTTCCTCACTCATGTCTCCATTTCATAACAGGTGTGCAATAAATAACCACTTGTTGAATTTGACATTGAAATTGGTCCTGAGAAGCCTGGCGTGGAGGAAGGTGCTGTCTGGTTTTGTATTCCCCAGGCAGATCACTATGCCAGATATAAACCATCTTCCTGTCCAACTCAGGGACAGCAGGCATGGGAGGACTTTTGAACTCAGATACTTGAAATCTATGCTAGTAGGTTTCTAAGAATCCAGGCTACCCTGATAGCTTTGAAGGCAGCCTAGAAGTCAGCCTGCCTCCTGCCAACGCACACAGATACAAGTGGGTCACATCCCAAGTTCCTTTTGTCTAGCTGGTAGCACATTCTCCCGGGTAGAATGGTAAGTGGGTTTGTAATGCTGAAATCTAGAGCTTTTGAGTTCAAACCAAACACCTCTGTTCTCTACATTTATCTTGGAACAGCCAAGTTCAGAAAGATGAAACCCTGTCAGCAAAGCCTGAACTCAATACTCTGTTTTGTTTTATGCAGGCAGAGAAGAAATTCTATTTAGGGGTTTTACCCTGTATGGGACTCTTGCCCTGTCTGTTCACCTCCACCTGTCCATTTTCCTTACTCCTCTGGCTCTCAGCACTTGTCTTGCAGCTTTGCAGAGGACAGACCAGGTTACTATGCAGAGGATAGACTATGAAAGGGTTCAGAGGTGGCTAGTGTACTTTATCTAGCACTTGAGCTTAAGGGATCTTCTGGGAGAAAATATGAAAGCCCAAACTTCTGAATTTTTATGGTTTCATGGAAGGAAGCAGAATATATCATAGAACTATTTCACAAACTGGGCATCTGTGGGCAAATCACCTTACCCCTCCAAGCCACAGTCTAGATATTTACAGAAAGAAGGGATCTAAGAGCAACACTCCAGGCTCTGAGGTTCTAGAGTTCTTAAAGGGTCGTTGTGTTTCCTACTACCACCCAAGGTTCCAGGAAGGCTGATATGGCTGCATCCCCTCTGGTACTGTTGTATGTGTGTATGTGGGGTGGGTGGAGCAGGGGGTTAGGCCAAAGGAGGATGCCAGGCATCTTCCTCAATTATTCTCATCTTAATTTTTGAGACAACATCTTTCACTGAACCTGGAGTTCCCCAGTTCATCTGGACTATCTAGCCAGTCATCCCAGAGACCTGTCTCTGTCTTCCAAGGCCTAGGGTTCCAGTTACCTCTGTAATTTGCTTTAATTTTGTTGTTGTTGAATGTGGGTTCTTCAGATTGAACACATCACCTCATGCTTGTACAGGGAACATGTTCCCTACTGAGCTATCTTCCCAGCCCTGGTACTTACTGCCTACTTATGTGTGACTAGAGGCAAGGACAGTAAAATCAGGACCATGAGTATAGCTGTCACATCCCCAAACCTCCAATATTCACAACAACTTACATTAGTAGGGGTGAGTGATGGAATTATTTTACTGTTTGGAATAGGATATGGTCTTCCTAAAAGCATGGTGGATGGCATCTTGTAGTTTTAGGTGGATTTGGTCCCTGATGATGCTCCCCAGAAACTGGGCATTTTGCATGGCATCAGCCACACTCAGGAAGAAAACATCTGCAGAGCTATGGACTCATGGAGGCTTGTAGTGGGGACCTGTTCAGAAATCTCTAGGCGGGGACTCTAGGCTTCTCTTGGGCACAAGGAGGTAAAAGAAGTGAGGAATGCAGGCACTGATAATGGTAATGTGTCATTCTGACCTTAGTTCCTAGCTATCAGGGAGATCTTGCATAAATATCCTTAGTGCTGAACTTCAACCCTGGCTCTGTGACTATCTGGCTAGGAGGCATGGGAAGGTCCCTTCAGGCTTCTGGCCTGTGCCTTCATGTCTACACAATAAAGGGGACAGCCTCTGTTTACATGTTTCATGTGTTCTGTGCTATGCAAACCCAGATGGACTGCTGAGGGAGATTAGTTCTCTTCTGTAAATGTGCCCTTCAGGTCCCAGGACCCTTCTCTCATCTCCCAAACACTACCGGTACATTTTTTGATTGAGTTGCTTTACCTTTCAACTCTTGAACTTCACCCTCAGCCACCAATCTCTGATGCTATCAATACATCCAGTGACAGCAGCAAGCATCCACTGAATATCTTGATCATCTCAGAAGCTAGGCTATGTAATGCCTTATAGTCAGTAGTTCAATGTTGCCCTTGCTTTATCACTGTAATAGAATGGGTTACTGAGACCCAGAAGGTGAATGTACTTTCCTGAAGCCCTACCTAGAACTCTCAGGGTTGAATCCAGGGCTGCCTGGTTTCCAAGACTCTGCTCAGTTCTCAGACTCAATCTGGCTGTGCCTCCTCAAGTTACCATGGAGACCTGGGCCTTGGGGGTAGGGTCACTTTTCTCTAAAAGGGGGGCATCTTTCCATAGTAGAACAGAGGGAAGTACAGGACATGTGACTTTCTTTATTTCTGTTGTATTTGCATTTTAGCCAAAAGATAAACTTCTTTTGAAGTGCCATATGGCTGAGGCCACTAGATCTGTAGAAACGATGGTGTCAAGGATAGAGGGGACAGTTTCTCAAGCCAATATGCAAGGTCAAAATCAGATATACTTTACAGGTTGGGTATGATCAAAAGACCTAAAAAATATAAAAAACGGACAAGTAAATAGCCAAGCTAAAGGTGGTGGCTTGTGGGTATTGTGGACCTCTTATTTCCAACAATATCAAAACAGGACATTGAGGAGGAAAAACAAGAACTTCAATTTGAACAGTATCCTTGGTTCATGTCAAGGGTCTTAGTACTTGTCTCCCTGCTCCTTAAGCTTGGGCTTTGAGACAGAGGTCCGAGCCTTGGTGCACTCATCATTTAGTGGAGAATAGAGAATAAGAAGCATGAGGTCTCTTCAGTGCATCTGGGTTTGTTGCCTTGCAAGCATTTGCACAATTCCCTGCACCAACGTCTCCACTAGCTGAGGACTGTCCCAAAGGCTTCCAGCCACACAATGTAAGAGTGCTCTTTTAGAATTTAGAGTGCACATCCAATAATTAGAGTTAACATTATTAGTTGACTTCCTACGTATTTTAAGATGTCTCAGCAAAGTTCTTGAATGCTTTATCCCCATCTCAACCTCCCAGACCAGCCATCAACTACAATGAAATTGGATTAAAGTCCTGGCTTGCTTCAGGGGCTCCACTGCTCAGCAAAAATGCAGGTTACAAGAAAGTTGGTGGTAGTTCAAGCTCTACAAAGTGTGTGGGCTCTTTTCCAGAAGGTAACTTTTACCCACCTGTGTTTTCTCTGCAGCCTCTCTAGCCTCATGGACCATTTCATGTGATCTCCCACTGACAGCTCCCCTCAAAAGTGATTAAGGAAATGCAAAACCAAAGAGAAATGAAACAGATCTATTTGCTAAGTAAGAAGAGCACCACCCAGCAAAGAGGAGAGGCAGATTAATAGCTGCCTTACAGCAAAAACAAATGAACACAAAATCTAATTTACAAACCTATTAGATTTGCTATGTAAGCTGTTCACAGCTGATCTGATTGTACCTCTGCCTCCAGAATTCCTGCAAGACAAAGGAAATGCATTATTTATCAACGCAGCTCTTCCTTGCAAAGCCCCTTTCGATCACCAGGAGACCCCAGAGCTCACCTGGGGGACCAAAGGAAGTTGACAACTTCTGACTCTGGATTTTCCATAATGGAAAATTCTTGGTCTTGGCACAGCCATGTCTTGGTCTTAGGCACAGCCCAGGAATTTTATGTGAATTTGGGTCTTTCAGATCCTCCCATCTCCCAGTTGAACTTCAAGTTGAGACACCCATTTTAGATTGCTAATAGACTGCTTTGGGAAGTCTCTTGGCTAATCCACATGATGATACGATTCAGGACAATATGGCATTTGCATCAGCATAACTCAGCATCACTTACTCTTATCTCTTTCTTTAATTCATGGGTAGTGAGATGTTGTTTATCACAGTCACCCTGAACTGAAGTCACCAGAAATTCAACAGAGGCAGCAAGATGAACTCAGCAGTGCCCCTAAGCAAATGTGGTAACAGTTTACATTTTAGTGGCAGGATGCATATCATTAATAGTGTTACTGTGGAGGATGGAGGGGACAGGAGCCCGGTGGGATCCTTTGTCCTGGAGAACAGGCTCTTGAAAAGCTCAAGACTTTAGTCCATTTCCTATTCAGTTGCCAGATTCCATTGTTTGACCACACAGCATCATCATCCTACTTTGCTGGCGTATTCACTGGGGAAAACACCAGTGTGTGCCCGTGGCTCCCCACTTTGTGCCTGTGCTGTAGAAAAGTCATACATGAGACTAAATATTTTTTATTCATTAAAAGCTTTCCCCTTGATTTATAGGCTACATTATTAAGAAGGTATTTTGAATTTTACTTGTATTTTAAAGTTCTACTGAGCCCTTCAGAGAAAGGGTTAGCATACAGCAAAGAAACAGTTATCCCTGGGGAAGCTATGTATTTGGAGAAACTGTGTCCTTAAATGAGAATTCTTTGGGAAGAAGTAATGGCAAAGCAGCACACTGGATTTATATAGATATCATTGTATGTGCATCTGTATGTATATGTGTACATACATACATATATACAGACATACAATGTACAAATGTATTTTTCTGATCTGTTGAAATGCAGTTTTCAGTGTTACTTACTAACAGCCTCCTATTCCATAGCCAGATAATTGGAGGTGGCATGAGGGCCTTGAAGAGTTCCCCACCAAGTTTTACCCCTACAAGCCTAGTTCTTTATGACACAGAGTAATATCGTACTTATTCTCATTTAATGTCTAGCATTTAATTAATTCGGTTTTATAGTCTTTCCATTTTCCTTGGAAGGCAGAGCTCTTGACCTTCTGCTTGGCATTATGGTAACATCTCACAGGTTGCAGTTCTGATCCACAGTCCGGTTGACCCCAAGGGCTTCATTTCCTGTGGTGTCACCACCTATCACTGTCCATTTACATCCCTCACTCAGAACCCGGTCATCAAAGCAGCTCTTCTCATAGGGAGGGAAGAGCTGTTGGACCAGATAGTAAGTCAAACATTGTATTTAAAAATGCAGTAATAGTTCAAGACTAACAAAAGGTTAATGAAACAAAGAGACTGTCTAGAAATACTGCATGTAAAAGAATTGATACGTGCTTCATAAAAGCATTATCAATGGGAAATTAAATAAATGGTTTCAAATGGTTGGCTAACAATCTTGGAAGAAATAACTTGAGCACCTTACTGTGGGCAGCAAAATGAACTCCAGATGGGTTTAACTGGTTTTCTTCGTTTGCATCCTGCTGCTCGGATAAAACAGAGATCCAAAGCGACTAAGGTGGGAAAAGGGATTTATTTCTTCTTATAGCTCTCAAATAAGTCAAGGCAAGTTGAGGCAGGAACTGAAGCAGAGGCTGTGGAGGAATTCTGTCTTCTGGCTTGCTCTCTGTGGCTTACTCAGCCTGCTTTCTTATGTAACCCAGGACCACCTACCTGCCCAGGGATAGCACTATGCATAACAAACTGGGCTCTCCCATCAACCATTAATCAAGAAATGTATCACAACCTTGTCCACAGGTCAATCTGACAGAGGGTATTCTCAATTGGCATTCCCTCTTCCTGGTGACTCAAGTTTGTATGAAGCTGGCAAAACACTAAGCAGCATGCTCTAACATTCCCCAAACCAGTATTCTTAAATCTCTATAACCAATTTCCTTTACCACCTATGAATACTATCATTTATTTAAACTTTAAAATGGTCCTATCTTTAAAAATACACCTTTGTCCTAAACAAGACCTTCTGGGAAACGGAGGTGTGATGTCAGGGTCATGTAGTTATTTAAAAAACCCACAAAACCATCACAAGGAAAGTATTTATTGGAGGAATTCCTCAGATCATCCCATATCATCACAGGGAATAGCATCTCCCTCTGGAAAAGACCAGATAAAAGAGGAAAATACTTAGAAGGAAAAATCAAACATGAAGTTGGGAGGATGTGTGGGAGGTGGGATCCGCCAGGAGTCGGAGCGAGGAGCAGGGTGCTACTGGGCATGATCTGAAGACATTGCATTCATATACGAAAGTGCCAATGATAAATAAAAAGTTAAAGAAATGTAAGAAATGGGCTAAAGGAAGGCAGTGTATTCACGAAGTGTTTGGTGGGGGCCCCAGGAGTGTATGTGAATGGTAAGATGAGATAATAGATTCAGGAGAATGCTCTGTCTTCATCACCATCGAAAATGCTGCTTATTCAAAGGGCAAACCCAGCTCATGGGGGGCTTCCATCAAACTTACAAGGGCTCCAGGTGGAGGATGCTGCGTCTAATTTAACGTTTAAAAATTATTCGTTCAACAAATTTTTTTGAATGACATCATAGCTGGGTTGCTGGCAAAGCTGAATAATACAGTTCCTGCCCTCACAAAGTACAGTTTCAGGGATACCACAAGAATTTTACCTCTCTCTCTCTCTTACACACACACACACACACACACACACACACACACACACACACACACACACGCACACACACAGAACACACACATGCTCACACACAGAGGGTTACATCTGTGGGTTCAACCAATTTAGGATAAGAACATACTTTAAAAATTTTGTGTCAGCTGGGCAATGATGGCACACGCCTTAAAACCCAACACTGGGAGATCCAACAAATGGATCTCTGAGTTTGAGACCAGCCTTGTCTACAGATCAGTTCCAGGACATCCAGGACTGTTTCACAGAGAGACCCCATCTAGAAAAACAACAAATTTTTTTTTGTGTGTTTACTAAAGCTGAACAGACATTTTTCTTCTTAGTACCCAAACAGTGCACCATTGCACTTATATTAGAAATTATCAGTGATGGATCCAAAGTATATGGCAAATATTGTACCACTTTATATAAAGGATTCGAGCACTTGTGGAATTTGGTATCTGTGGGAGAGTCCTACAGTCAGTTACCCACAATTACTGAAGACTGCTGTGTCCATCATGTCCATTGTGATGCCTTGCTATGTGTATACATATGAAATGATTAAGATAATCCATATATCTGTTACTTCATATAGTTGTCTTTTTGTGATAAGAACCTAGAAGATCAATGTGATAGCAAATTTCAAGTATACATTACTGTTGTTGTTATAATTATTTGAGCAAGGTCTAGCCATGTTGCCCAGATGGACTTGGATTTGTGATCCTTCTGCATCAGCCTCCTGAATAGCTGGGACTGTAGGTGTGATGCATTGTGTTCGACTACATATGGTGTTAACTGTAGTTACTGTGCTACAAAATGGAGCTTCAAAATTGCCTAATTGATCGTTTTCCTTAGACCAAAATCTCCCTCCTCTGTCTGAAGCCCCTGATTAACAAGTTTAGAGGGATCAAATACTTTACCAATACCAGATGCCACCCTTTCTCCTTTTTTGCCTCAAGCTGGGTTGCAGAGAACATGGAATCCTGAAGACTTTGGCAATCAAATCCCTGTACTTTCCCCCTCAGCAATCCTTCCTTTATCTCAGGGATCCCTGTTGTTGACACTCCTGACATTCAGTCAGGACATTTCTTTGTTGGTGATGCAAGGATTGGGACAGCTATCTCTCTATTAGAGTATCCCTGATTATTCATTTTGAGACAGAGTCTTACTATGTAGCCCTGGCCGTCTGGGATGCATTATGTAGATCAGGCTGGCCTCAAACTCATGGAGATCTGCCTGTCTCTGCCTTAGGCTCTTCTGGGATTAAAGGCATTTGCCACCACACAGAAGCTGCACCTCTGAGTTCTGTCTACTGTGTTCTAACAGTAGAACTTTTCCTTATCTTCAAGTTGTGACAATCAAAAATGTCTCTAACTATTACCAGCATCACCTGGGATGTGGGGCAGGGACTCAATGGTATCTACAACCCATGTGTGACAATCGTTTCCAGTCTAGTGCCTCCCAGAACACTCAGTCAACCAGGTCATTCTCATCATGCTTCCATGCTAACCTTCAAGCCCAACGCCTGGGCCTCCCTCAGAACTACCCTGGATTTCCATTCTTAGCCACTCTTTCCTTCTCCGTAGACAGCAGCTGCTTCATTCTCAGCATGTTTTCCCATTCCATCATCTCACAGTCTGACCCCTCCTCTTACAGCTGAGAGACCAAGGTCTGAGTTTTCATTACAGTTTCATTTGCCTTGTCTTCTGAACCCACTGCAGTATGTGTCTCTTAAAGATGAATAGTAACTTTGTAGTTTATTTTCTATATTATGTGTTTTAACATTTGGGTCATGCTGTTTCTGTGATATCATCCCTCCTAGGGTTAACTAATCCTACAGATATTCAAGGCTTACATGGGCATGTACCATTCAAGTACCAGTTAGCCATGACATAGCCTACATGCCATCACCTCATTTTTGGAGGTCCCACTTTGTACAATAACCATAAGACGAGATAGGACAATACCAGGATCGTATTGTATACTCCACAGCCTACAGAAATTATTCAAGCTAGCCTTGCCCATTGCCTTCTTACAGAAGCTACACTAAAGGCTCTTGCCAATCTATTCCTCTCAGTCTGTCGGATGACCTGACCCAGTCTTTTATTGTGTGCCCACCACCGTGTGGCATGTGTACGTTCTCCCTGTGGGGACTATTAACATAACAAGCCAAATAAGATGAGGACTTGTCCTGTTCACTCCTGCAGCTCATACAGT